TGAGCTCACTTTGTAGCCCAGGGTGGTCTCGAACTCTCAACGATCCTCCTGCCTCATCCTCCCGGAGTGCTGGGATTACAGGCGTGTGCAACCATGCCTGGCTTTCTAATACATTTTTAAGAAAAATTTTAGGTTCTAATATATTTTTAATATACAATGCTGAATAAATATAAAGAAGATATTTAGCAAAGGAGTATTTGTACCTATGTATTTACTGCTGACAGTTAAATAGATTTTTGAAATGGCAAAAAACATCCTTACTTGCTGAAATTGATAGTAACTCAGTGATAATGGGGTTAGGGAATTAAAGACAAGATTTAAGTATTTGTATGAAGTTGGCCCCTGTGCTTTGTTTTCTCTCCCTTCTCCTTAGCACACATCATATTGCTTGTGTATCATTTGTCCATAATAAATGTTGGAAGATATTATAAAATGTATAAAGACCCAACAAATTCATGGTTATTGTTGTATATTTTTTCTTTTTTCTTTTTAATTGTTTTGGTTCTGGGTTAGGATCAAGCCTCAGGCCTCTTGCAGACTAGGCAAGGGCTCTACAACTGACATACACCCCCACCCCGTGGAAATATTTCTATATGACCCATACATTTAGATGTTAGAATTCCTGGAAATAGAATTCTAGGTTGAAAATCCTTTTCTTTTAGGTGTTACTTCATTGTTTCCAAGTTTTCAATGTTATTATTGAAAAGGTTGGTAGTGTTCTGTTTTTCAGCTCTTTTAAGATATTTTGAGGTGAGGTGCAGGGAAGGGAAGGAGAAGTAAAGAACTAAGATATGTTATGTACATATACTGACTCCTCATGATGAACATAATCCTTATGTACTGCTAACATGTACTAAAAAAATATCTTTTAAAAATCTCTTGTCTTTGATGTTACAGAATTTCATCATGATCCAACATCATGAGGTTCTTCTTTTATTTTTGCTGGGTATCTGGTATACCCTTTCAACCTAGATATTCATTGCCCCAAAGTGTGAGAAATATATCTGTTATAATTTTCTCTGCACTAAAATGTTCTTAAAATGTTTTTGTTTTTTTTTTTGTTTTGTTTTGTTTTTTTGTCTTTTTGAGACAGGGTCTCGCTATGCAGTTCAGGCCGAACTTGAGCTCATTTTGTAGCCCAGGCTGGTCTTGAACTTGCAACAATCCTGCCTCAGCCTCCCGAGTGCTGGGATTACAGGCATGCACCACCACGCCGGGCTAGAAAAATATCTTTTAGTCTCTTTTTGGGGGCATATGAGATTGGGTGCCAATGTTATGGAAGAAATGATTGGCTATCAATTTCCTCATCTTCTGGTTGTACCTTAACCTAGTATGCTATTATGCCTGGTTAACTGAGCCTAGAGTTTCTTGTATTTAGTTTCTTCATAGAGGATGAGTTTATAACCACTATGCATGCAATCTTTGATGCAATTCTCTTGTGTTTAGTTCCTCATTTTATTCTTAGCATATGTGGTACCTGATGTTTCTCACTTTTTAGTTTTCTACTTGATGGACTGGTTTCTTGTTACTTGCCACTTTAGTCAGTACTTTCTATGCTTTGTTCAGTCAACTGCCATTGCTCAATCTTTGTTTCTCAACCTAGAATATTATGGCTTCTGGGTTAGAGATGTCAAAGCCAGATTTAGCAGTTTTATTTTTTATTCTTCCTTTGGAATGATTTCCAATAAAAGAGATGAAAATATCTTTATCTTCCTAAAACTAGGTATTTGTTCATGGTTTCCCTATTTTATTTTATTTTTTGGTTTCTTGAGACAAGGTCTTACTATGTAATTCAGGGTGGCCTTGAACTTGCTATGTAGCCTAGAGTGGCCTAGAATTTGGGGTGATCCCCCTACTTCAGCCTTCTGAGTGCCAGGATTACAGTGTGCCACCACACCCACTTTCCTATGATGCTGTGATTTATCTATCTCACTGAATAGTTTGAGCTATTCTGTTATGATTTTGAAACCTTTTGAATTTTTTTTTTTTGTCTTTTTGAGACAGGGTCTCACTATGCAGTTCAGGCTGGCCTTGAGCTCACTTTGTAGCCTCAGCTGGTGTCAAACTTGCAACGATCCTCCTGCCTCAGCCTCCCGAGTGCTGGGATTACAGGCACGCCCAGCTTGACTTTTATATAAAGTCCTAACCACTTTGTGCTATTCAAAAATCTGAAGACATATTCACAGAAAGATAGTTTCTCCTGGCTTTTTAGGTAAGTTGGAGTGACTTTACAGTCTGTTGGTATTTTAGTGCAAGCTGAAGTGGTCTCATTTCTGTGACCTAAAATGCTCTGTTCTTTATATAAACAACAGTACAAGCAGTTGTTCTCTTCTACTCTGAGCGTGATTATCTCTTAGCAGCAGGTATAGTGATTCATTCTCCTGTGCATTTTAAAGGAGACTTTATTATTTGTGGAAGATAAAGTGCAGGGCAAGGAGAGCTCCAGCAATGTGTCAGGTATTACACATTTTGGACTAGCATAACAAGAAGCAATTTCTTCTTCCATTGCAATTTCAAAGCCTGGAAGTAACACCCCACTTATCAAGTTCTGAGAAGTCACATTATTCATAACAGGGACTATGATTCACATGAATGGAACAAAATGGAATTATCAAAAATAGATTCTGTACATCAATCTGTAGCAAAAAATATCTTCTGACTTAGCTATGAATTGGCCATAATCACAGGAAGAACCATTCCATTTAAGCTCTGCTGCCTTCTCCTCCACTTTGACTGAATAACCTTTATTCTTCTTTCACTGCATATCATTATAGGTCAATGTATTGCGAAAACGGGATTTTGCCTTTTGGTCCTAGAGATTAATACCAAGGTCTTATGCATGCTAAACATGGAAAACAGGTTTTAACATGAAGTGTTATACTTTTTTCTTGTGGTTCTTTTGAAGTAAGACTTAAACATATTTTGTGTTAATTGTGTTCATTTAATTGATCACCTTGAGTTATGAAGCATTTTTCATTTTATGCTTTGTATATTGACCAATCGTTATTTTTAGCTGCAATGGTTATAACAACCTGTAGAGTTGGTTAGAAGGGCATCATATTTAATGGAATTTGAATTCCGGCCAGAGCTATTATTTGTTTCAAATACAAATGTTAGATTTCAGTCCTTTTACCTGGACAGTTTTTCTCCTTCTATTGATTTCCTGCCTCTCCAAGAGTAATACATCCTTTTTAGGGAGTAGTAAACAGGAAAAGGCAGCTTCAGTTTGGTAACTACTACTTTATTATATATACACATACAATATGGAGTGTCTAATGTTCGAGGCATTGTGCAGGGCTTTAAGGGGCGTAAACATGAGAATGTCAGTTGCTTTCAATTGTGGCAGTAACAAAGAAATACAAAGACATTTCTATTTTAAAGGCATCATTAAATATAAAGACACTTATTCTTTTACCAAAATGAAATCCAGAGCAAGGCAGTCCAGGGTTGGACAGTAGCTCATGATGTCTTTTATCTCTCTGGTTAGCTATTATCAATGGTTGGCTTTTTTCTTCAGGATTATATATGAATGCTCACAAGAGCTGTATTATCTATAAATACCATATCCTTACATAGTCACATCCAGTGGAGAAAAATAGCAACTTTTCTCCAACTATACATTTTCTTTAAGGAAGAAAATTTATTTCAGCGCCTCTCATACATTTCTTCCACCTCCCACTGCCTCAGATGGAGTCAGTGCCTGGAAAAAGATCTGTGTGTGTGTGTTTTGTGTTGTTGGATAGGCAACTAATAGTGTCTGCCACTAAGAATAAAGTGAAATTGCTGTGTTCCTTCAAGAAGCTTGGTGCCTCTTAAGGCAGAAAAGAAGCTGTAGTTTTATTACAATTTCTGTGTGGTAGATTCCTGGACATACTTATGGGTTGCAAATTAGAGATCCCCTTTAAATTGCTCAAAACTTGTACTCTGAATTTGCAGCTCCTAAGCCCAGCCTGTTCTTTCCCATTATTCCTAGTTTTTGTACAAGATCTGTTCTGGGTATCTTTTTCAAGAATAATGTTTAACTATGAAGTATCAATTTATGTAACATATTTTGGGTAAAGTTCTTTTTCTCCAAAATGCTCTGAACCTTCCTTCTCCTAGCACAAAAATCTCATCCATTTATTTGGCAAATATCTGTTGCATGCTTACTATACAGCAAACACTTAAAGTGTTGGGGATACAAGACTTGAGCTCTAGCTGGATGTGTGGTGCATAAAGATTGACAATTAACAATGACAAATGGTGGGCAAGAATGCTGTACAAGGGGACAACAGGCGAGGCAACTTACACTATTGGGTCTGGGAGCAGAAAGGAACCCCGCTCCCCTTTTTTTCTTTTTTTGGATACAGGGTTTTTTTAGGTTACTAAATTGCCCTGTCTGGCCTCAAACTTGTGATCCTCTTACCTCAGCCTCCCAGAGTGATGGGTTTATAGGCATGCTGATCACTGCACCTGGTGGGAGATCTTCTTAAAACCTTCTGTAGTAGACTATTTATGCCACCCCCTCAAATTCATATATGGAATTTCTAATCCCCAATGTGATGGTACTAGGACTTGGGGCCTTAGGGAAGTGATTAAGTCATGACGGAGGAAGCATCACAAATAGTATTAGCAACTTTATAAAAGAAACCCTGGAAAACTCTCTGTCCTTTTTCTGTCCTATAAGGACACTGTGAGGCAATAGTTGTGTATGAATCAGAAAATGGCCCTCACAAGACATCCAGTCCTGTGGCACCTTGACTGGACGTTCTAGTCTCCAGAGCTGTGAGGAATAAATGTTGTTTAAGACATCAAGTCTCTGGTATTCTGCTGTAGCAGCCCAAACAGACTAAGACAATTTCTTTAAATGACAACTAAAGAGAGTACAATAGGGGAAGGAATGGAAGTGTTCAAGGTAGAGAAGTCTATGTAGGAAATTACGGAGGTGAAAATGGTGGTGAAAGTGCTCTTGAAAATAGCCTCTGTAATTCCTTCTTCTCAGGCATTTGTCCGTTTGCTGAACTTTTAGACCATAAGATCTCTGAAGGCAAAATGTATGACCTACATGGAGCATTGATAAATACAAAGGTAGCTTCAGAGGAGAATGAGGTTGTACATGTGTCAGTGCAAAATGAATGCTTAGCTGGGCATGGTGGTACATACCTGTAGTCCCAGCTACTTGGGATTCTATTGTCTGAGCAGAGAGGATCACCTGAGCCCAGAGGTTTGAGGAAGCCTGGGCAATACAGCAATGACCCAGTCTCCTAAACAGAAAAAAGAAAAAGCTTACATTTTAAAACACTTGAGGCCAGGAGTAGACGATACCATCCTTCCCTTCCAAATAATAGGGAATAGCACCACCTGTTTGGGTGACGCAGAGACCAAAGCAGCAGAGAGGCATTGATTCATAAAGTTCTGGGGGAAGTACAGAGTAATTATAGTTCCAATCCTCTGATGTTACTTTAAAGTCTATTTCAAGAAGCATAATGAAAACCCAGTACCCATCAGAGACAAAATAGCCACTCACTTTTGTTTGCAAGAGCTTTTGAAAAAATAGTTGCTTGGTACTGGCTGCTCTTTGTGTGTCAGGGTTCTGTGTTACTGTTGCGGAGGGCTTATCAAACCTGATGAACTACTTGTAAAATAAAATATTAAAAAAAAAATCAAATGTCCATGTCTTGATTCAGGTTCCTGCTATTTCATTTTAGATCCATGTTCAACTATTTTATTTTTTTTGAGACAGGGTCTCACCATGTAGCTCAGTGTGGCCTTGAACTCACTATGTAGCCCAGGCTGGTCTCAAATTCACAGTGATCCTCCTGCCTCAGCCTCTTGAGTGCTGGGATTACCACCATGCCCAGCTAGATCCATGTTCTAAACCTTCTGCCACTTGGCTGAGAGGATCTAGAAGGGAGTAAATTTTTATAAAGAAGAAAGTCTTAGAATATATTCTTTTGGGGGGGTAGTATCTGGAATCGAACTCAGGACCTCACACTTGCGAGGTAGGTAGTATGCCACTGAGCTAAACCCCTAGCTAAACCCCTATAATCTTTTTTTTTTGTCTTTTTGAGACAGGGTCTCACTGTCTCAGTTCAGGTTGGCCTTGAGCTCACTTTTATAGTTATATTCTTGTTAGGCCAGAGTAAGTGATAAATTTAAGAATTTCAATTCCTCTCCTTAATTTATTCTAGGTCAACTTTTCATCCTTGGGCTTGAGAAGGCACTTGTTTGAGCCTGTCATTTCCACAGCTAAGTAAATAGTAACTCCCAAATAATGAGAAAAGATATATAAATCTGTTTTGTGAATAAGATATTGTAAGATGCTATGTGTTTTGTGAATGAAAAGATCCATTTATACAAATGTAAGAACTCATTTTTTATGAACTTGGGAAGCATTTTTTGATATCCATTTTTCGAAGGGTCTTCTTCAAGGGCAGAGTTTTGTTTTTTGGCTCTTACCTGAGAGAACAGTGAAGTGTGGCTAAAGTTACATGGACCCCAAATTCTGTAACTCGATGGTTCTTTTTTATTTTTGGTACTGGTCATTGAACGCAGAAGTTTCTAAAAAAAATCATTTTTTTATCATAAGATAGGGTAATGGAGGTCGCTAATTTGCCCAGGTTGGGCTTTAATTTGTGATCCTCCTGCCTCAACCTTCCAGTGTTGGGATTACAGATGTGTACCACCATGTTTAATGGTTCTTTACCTTTGACCTTTTATTAACAGAATACTTTTTTGAATACTTTTAGATTTACAGAAAGATTAAGCAAGAGTTCTCACTTATTCCCCCTCCGTTTCCTCTATTATCTTACATTTATTTATTACAATTAATGAATGACTATTGATACTATGTTCCTAACTAAAGGTCACACTTTATTCTGAGTTTGTTTTTGTCTAGTGACCTTTTTGTTTGGGGATCCTATTCAACTGAAAACTTACATTTAATTGTTCTGTTAGTTGTCACGTTAGTTAACACGTCATTTTAGCTGTCCACACTATACTTAGTTGTCATGTCTCCTTAGATTCTTCTTGGTTGTGTCAGTCACTTTCATTTTTTGTATTACAAACCAGACCGAAAATATGATTAAAGATCAGCGAGGGGGCGCACGCCCGTAATCCCAGCACTCAGGCTGAGGCAGGAGGATTGCCGTGAGTTGGAGGCCAGCCAGGGTTACATAAGCAAGTTTAAGTCCAGCCTGCACTATATAGCACGACTTGTCTCAAAAAATAAATAAATATATAAAAAATATTAAAGCTAAGGATCCACTCCACAGAAACATGTGAATTTAGGTCTAATTTAAGGGGGACCCACCCACAGCCAAAGTGCTTCCTATGTAGGCCTCAGCTTCATCATCTGTGAAATGAAGGGTTTAGTTTACGCGAAGTCTCAACCCATTCCTGGCGAAGTAAACGGTGGGCATCATCTGGCATTATCACCATCTGAGGAAGAAGGGCTGCAAAGGGAGGACGAAGTTAAGTTATTCCAGAGCAACTGATGAGCTTATCAATAAAGAGGCTGCAGCCGTGCAAGTGAGAAAAACAGGGTTCCACTCTGTAGACTTTGCAAGTCATTTCCTCCCTCTGGGCCTCAGTTTCCTCATCTACGAAACGAGGAAGGCCTTGCTTCTGGTAACTATGAAACTCCTGGGAGGAGCAGAAGAGATTGTGTCTGGCAAGATACCATGTGAGGAATTAAGACGGAGAAAGTAGGTGAAGGGCGGGTCTCAGGAATGCGAGGCAGGGCTGAGGACTTGGGAAAGAGGTACCTATTATAAGGCTACACAACGCCACCCGTGCACCGCAGGAGTCCTTCCCCCTCGGTTCCAGCTCCGCCTCCTCCTTACTTTCCTTCCTCTCCTCTTCCCTCCCCTCAGAGTGCGACGCGCCACACTTCGCATGGCGGCCACCGTACGCCGCTTCCCACAGCTTAAAGGGCGCGCGCGCTCTCCTTCGTCGTCGCTTCACTCCTGCCCTCTCCCTCTTAGGACTGGTTGATCGTGTAAGTGACGTAACGCCCTATTTTCCTACCCCTCAGTTTTCTGTGACCCGGCTCCACCTCCTCTCTACTTCTGCAGCCTCAAGCCGAAACCTAACATGCTGGGGTTCCGGCTGCGCCAAGGCGCCGGCTAAGTTGGGTAGACCAAAAGGCCCCGGCGAGGGCGCGCACGCACATACGCACGCACGCCGGCGGCCGGCCAGGAGGCAGGCTCGAGCCCGGCTCGCCCCGCGCCGCGCCAGAGCTCGCGCACTCAGCAGGTTGGGCTGCGGCGGCTGAGGGAGCCGAGGCGCTGCGTGCTAAGGTCCCAGACGCGTCTGCGTCTGCGGCTCCGCCACCCTCGCTCCTCTTTCCTCAGTCTCGGTGTCGGGTGCTGAGGAAGGCAACGGCGCCAGGCTTGGGGACCCCGAGCACACCCTCGGTTGCCTGCGACACCGCCCTCCTTTCCTGCCCATCCGCGGGCCTCGCTCGGTGCTAGGCGACTCTGCGGGGGGCGGCGGCGGCGGCGGCGGCTGCCTGTCTGTGGAGTCCTGCTGCCCTCCTGCCTCGCTCCTCCGTCCGTCCTGCAGGGGCCCGGAAAGCTCGGCGCCCTCCCTTCCTCTTGTCCTCCTCGTCCGCCGGTGGGAGCAGCGTCGGTCCGGCAGGGCTCTGGGCTGAGGCGGCGGCAGCTCCTCCGGCTCCATCATGTCCGCGGGCGGAGACTTCGGGAATCCGCTGAGGAAATTTAAACTGGTGTTCCTGGGGGAGCAGAGCGGTGAGT